AACAGGGAGAAAATATCCAAAATTGTAGTCATTCTCGGTAAGAAAAATCAGTTTGTGTAGAGCTTACTTTCTTTTGAACAAGAAGAATGTGAAAGTACCTTTACAGATGACAGGAACAGAGCACCCAGGTCTACTTACACCATCGTGTGCCATAAACCACGTAAAACAGGTTTAATCTGTACTTATTTTACAGTTGTACATGACAAGCTGCTGTTCCAATTTTGCCTTCACTTGATACATATTTCTCCCAAGACTTTTCACAACTATTGGACAGAAATGACACCTGGACAATATGCATTCAGTCAGATTTTAAGCTTGATTATACAATTACATTCTGCCAGTTAGCTCCTTGGGATGCCAGGTTGTTACTGGAAGGTAGATGGTATTTTGGCAAAAACAGTCGCCAACTACAAAGATCCTGCCTTCTCTTTCGTTCTTCAAGTTAGTAATAATATTCCTTAAGAGTGCCTTCTACACTCAGATTTTTCTAAAAAGTGTCATTTAGCATACCAGTCTGAAATTCTTAAAAAAAAAAAAAATCACAATTCAAATCATACAGTGCCTCACTGAAGACAACGCCCCACATTATAGTTTCTTTCATGATCTTACTTTGTTTCCTTATTTGTCTGAACATAAAGTCCAAAGATTGCTGACTTCCAACCATCTTTCCTAACTAGTGAGCATCCTGTTATGATACACATATGTGTCACAGGAAGTGACAAAAGACAGACAAGAAATCAAGCCATACAAAATGACAGTAGTATTCTTCACTCTATTTTATTCTAGCTGTCATTATCATATGGTATATGGAAATTTTATTTTTATATAGAATATGTATATGATTACAAAAATTAAACCTTCATTCTGGCTGTAAAAACTCAGTAGATTACTTTCTCTTAAAGTTTAGAAAAGGGGAACACCAAAAATATTTCCAAAGGCAGCTTTACTCACAAGCATGTCTTCACATCTTACTGTGTTTTTCACCAGTGGGCAGGTATGTTCTGCAACATAAATCACCTCCCTCCCTATCGGAAGCGAGGATGACGCATTATTTCACTTTGTGAAGCTAAAGGCTAGACTGGAACTTAGGCTACCATCTAACATCACAATGCTTTCACTTTGAGGAATCAAAACTGTGACCATTACAGAAAAATTTTCCTTTAGAAATAATCTTTAGAGTAATTCATGCCTACTTGGTAACAGCAGTATAGCTGCACCTACTGAAAAATTCCAATATCAAAGATCTCTATACCAAACAAATTGTTCTCTAAACTAATTGAAGTATAATACTCCCTTCAGTAAACGTTCCTTTGTTTAAAAACAAGAACTCCTTTTTTCCATACTATATAATTTTCCATGTAGTTTATTCATAAACTAGTTTTCTGATTTATCACCGAATTTAGAAAAAGGTAACCTATCTAGTTACCTCAGTGACTTGACTCCAGCTGCCTGTGAGACCAGAGCCTCACCAGCTCACCAGCTCCCTAAAGCAAAACTGCAGGCTCTACAAAACAGAGAATGAGTATTACTACAGCACCAATAACGAAAATGCTGGCTATGAACTTCCAGCTACGCTGTTAAGCAGGATACCTTCTTAGATACGGAAACATTTGTAAATCTCCACCTTCATCTTCCATGAAAGTGGTATCATGGTTGAAATGGCTATTGACTTGATTCACACAAAGGTAATTTAATTTTGCAGTTCAGTCCAAAATGGATCTTTAGCTAATTTGAATCTGTTGAAATATATATGGATTTTTTGTTTAAAGCTTTAAGAAAAAAAATAAAAATCAATTGAGATGCTGAAAGCATTTATTCAATTTTCCTACAACAAGGTACAGTATTATCTTGTTAAATGACTGCACAGACTTGCCACTCAGCCCAAGAGATGCAAGACACCTTGTTGTTTTTTTTTTATTAGTACTAACAAAGCTCATAACTGATTTGAGACAGGCTAATGGGTATTTAATATCCAAAACAAGTTTTCTAACACATTATTTAAAAAAAACAAACAATGACCTATTCACCATTCTATAACGGGTTAAGATGATTCTGATACTAGCCCTTTTACAGCTGATTTGCTAACTGTTTTTTTTAAAGCAAAAAGTAAAACCAAAATTGAGAACTAGAGAAAACTACTGTCATAGGAGCTTTGAACATAGTTGTATGCATTCAGTAGATCATAACATCAACAGCAGCTTTATGGAAGGGTCCTCTGTTCACCTACTCTTTAGGGAGCCCATTATGATGTATTATTTTTGCACAAATTCCAGGAGTATATTCAAAGGATAATTTTTGAACTATGAGGACCAAACCTGAACAGTTAATAGCAGTTAAAAACAGCTGAGCTATCAGAAAAAAAATGAGAGTTTATATAAAATAATAATACTTGTGGGAGGGCTGAAAAGTCTATGAATTACAAATAAAACATTTATGAACAAGCTAAACAATCTGGTTATCTTTCTGATAATATCTTACTGTGTGGGTTTTGTTTTGTTTTTTAAAGGAACAAGCACACTGTAAATGAACTTAAAGAACTTGGGAAAGTGAAACCTTTTCCTCTCAAAACATTTGAAAATGTGAAAGTGATTTGCTTTCCTTATCAGTAATACTTGTCTTACTGGTTCAGTTCTAGCTCTTTTCACATTTTAAAGCCTCTGTGAATAGACAGACTTGAACCTACCATGAGGGTAAAAGTCACAGTTCACCAAGCTGCAGCATTGTCAGAGTCAGTATCCCAATAACTAATTGCGGCTTTTGACCTAATAGTGGTCTGTCATATAACAACTAAGCTTATGTTCTTTTCATGCAAAGAATGCGCTATTATTTATACTTTGTAAGGGAATTTAGAAGTAACCACATTGATCTAATTCATAGCTATTAGAACATCATTTTAGATTTTGCTTCCTTCATGATCTCCAATCAGATACAATACAATCATACTTTACATAATCTTGATTTTTAACTACTGTACATCAGTTAACTGTAACATACTTAGCAGCTGTAGAAAAGACTTGTTGGCTTTCAATTCTGTATCTCAATTTGTTACTTAAAGAAAATTATATAGCAAATTTATATAGACTAAGAGTTTTAGAAGTGTCTGAAATACTCAAATGTTGCTACATTAAAACAATCCTTTACAAATATTTTACAGAATCTGACATCCTATTATCATTAACTACAGAAAGCAATATACCCTTGGACAGCACTTCTACAGGGTTTACCAACATAAAATACAATGCCAAGATACTAATAAGAAACAAGGATCTTGCACATTAATTGGCAGTGAACACTAGGAGACTCTGATTAATAAATGTCAGAGCTCACGAAAGAGCATCCAAGGCAAGAACGAACATAATTACGTCAAGTAACAGTGAACTCTGGACAGAGGTGAGTAAGATTAAAATACGCAGCAAGTCTCAAACTTACTGCTGCAAACATGAAAGAACCAGCACTTCTGGAATTCAATGAAACCACCAGTTTGACCTTTTGATGACTGTTGCAGTCAATGACAAACTTTCCAAAATTAGCCCCTGCACTACCTGTAGATGCATACTTTAACTTCTCCCAGGATTTATTGTGCATCTATTCATAGACTTTGCAATCTAGAAGGGTTTCCCTTCCTTACTGTATCATGGAAATTAAAAAAAAAAATTATTTCTCCCCATTTTTCCAATAGGTAGCCTGAAACAAACATGTTGTCTTTATAAAGATGAAATTCATAGGCATGCGTTGCAAGTACACTGTTAGGAAGGTCTCTTCTTTCAAAAGAAGGTCTCTCCAGGAAAATGTAGTTACTCCCAGAAATTGGTAGGTATTGAACCATTTCGGTTTTCTACTTGAAGCCTCTCTCTCCCATGTTCCATGTGAGTAACTTACTCAATCTTTGCAGGGCGTTTATGGACAGAGGTAACGTTCAAATATTGATATGGAAAAAGAATTAGCTGTGAGTTTCTCAGGAAAAGTATCAAGTGGAGGGAGGGCTGTCATCTTTACCACAAAGTACAGCACTTCTGGCTAGCTCAGTCTTCCTGGAAATGAAACTGAATAGCTACATGAACTTTTTGTATTAATTTGAAACCAAGAAACTCTGAACAGAAATGCTCAAATTCTTGCAGGCAAAAGGAAAAATTTGGTTGGAATAAGAATTTAGTTTCCTTTAAGGGAACTGTATTAGAACATGAAATATTAAAGATTCTGAATCTTTGCTTTCATAGCTTATTGAAAACACTGAAGAACAGCCTATTTTAGAGAAAATCCACTGCTTGAATAAAAATTACACTGAACTGATTTCCATTGGATACACAGGCTCCACAAAGTCTTTCGTGGAATTAAAACACATAGCCTTTCACTATAAATCAGGTTATAAAAAAAACAACATTTGCCTAAAATATAAGTGTAATGAAATCAAGATGAACATTTATCCAGTATTTTTTAATCTCAACTGTTGTTGAAACATCAAATGGAGAAGAATGATTCAGGTTGGTGCAAAGTGACAGAATTAGAATTATGAGACACGAGTTTGTTTTCACAACAAACAAAATTCTTGGTGATGAAGACATACTAGTCTACTGGTTTTAAATCTTCAGCAGACTGGTTTTATAAAACCATCTATGACTTACAGGATTCTAGACTAGATGGAACAATCTTTCGTGATATAGTCAGTGTTGATTGCTTCACTTATCAAAAGTTTCATAAGGTAGGATCACTGTTCTTAGCAGAATGCTAAAATACCACTTGGAACAGAGCGCTAAAGCAGACTCTGCACTACCGCATGGATGATAAAGAGCAATTCTGTATTTATGGGCACATGTGCTAAGTGATCTCAAAAGTATATTCTCCTATCTTTAACTTCAATTATTCTAGAAATTGCTCAAAACTTATAAAACAGGATCAAGTATTTTCAGGTCAGTTACAAATAAGTCACCACAAGTGACTGAAAATTTCATGACATGATCATGACTTGGGTCACTGCAAGACAAGGAAAGCTTTCCGGTTACCTTTTTTACAGTCTTATCAGGTTCGAGAGCAATATCTGGAATGTTGGCATCCACCATGAGGGAAAATAAGTTCAAGATCAAGTTGGAATACCTAAGCAGAAGAGCAAATTAGGTAAAACACTTTGTAAACTGTACAAAAGACATTTTGCAAACAACTTCATTTAAGAACACATCATCATCTTAATGTGAATTGGTAATGCTTCAGAGGAGGTGCATCCATAACACTTTAGTTGAACATATTTATGTTAAAAACATAAGGTACCTGATATTAGCAGTGAAAGTTTAACCCTCAAACCATCTCAAACTGCCAAAACTGAACAGACTGCTCTGGTTTTATTATAATTTTCTAAAAAATGTCAGAACATTTATTCAGAAACACATCAAATATAAACTGTGAATTCATATATTGAAAGATTTAATGCCATTTTCTACCTCTAGTAGGACAAACATATGCTCGTATATTGATTCAAAGGTTATTTTTTATTAAAAAGGATATCAGTGATACAGCAGTATTATATAAATTAGCATTCAAACAGCTGAAGTCTTCACAATTACAAGAAATGATTTTTCAAGTTGCTTCAAGGGCTTTTGCCATAACAAGTTGAATATAAGTGATTTTACCAGATCCAAGTCTGCAGTTGCTCAGTTAAGCTGCAATAACATTGGTAGGCATGCCACACTTACGAAGTAAAATGTAATTTATAACCATTAAAAAAGACAAGACAGAGTATAGTTTTCAGTCTTAACGTGATATCGGAAGTACTCGCGAATCTTTGAGAGAACATCATTTTGCCCTTGCAGGAAATTAGCTGTAAGTTGCTTTTTGAAAGGATAATTTTCAAGCTGTTCAACATAAACTGAAACTTCCCTTCCTCTGTAAAGAGATCTAATCCCCTTTCAGAGACAAAGTAGGTAACTGACTTCAAAATCTGAAATATTGCTAGAACGCTAGGAGCTTCACAGACAATAGAAAATGAATTCTTAGCAGCAAAACTTGTTTATTAGCAAGCTGCTGAATAAGCTGACAATTGCAAGGAGTACAAAGTATTTTAACTACACAAAAGGACTGCTTCATAGCTGTATTTTACAAAGTAAATACTGCTCAACACCAACAACAAAATCTCTCTAGAAAGCATAATTCCATCAAAAACTCTTGACACTTCATTACTATCTGGGACTAGCACTACCTAACACACTCCAATATAAGTTTTAACTCTTTATAAACACAAACATTTAATATAAACTGTTTGGGCAGAAATCTTCAGTGTCTTGTTTCAGCTGTTCTGCTTCACTTTCCCAGGGGCAAGGGACTGGAATCAGGAAAATTACTTTTATCACAGATTAAAAGAAAGGTTAGACTACCATTTTTTTTCAGATCTGGTTAAGAAATCTGGCAGTCAAGTTGCTTCGGTGCCAGGAACAGACACCATAGGTTGTAATGAAAATTTTTTCTACTTGCCTGAAACAAGCAAATCTCACTTTGAACATGCATAAATCTTACAGCTATGTTCTCTCAAGTCTCTTCCTAGGTCATTGGTAGTTCTCCCTTTGAACTGACCCAGGAGTCCAGAGTCTGAGTCCCTTTTGCTCTTGAACCATGCAGAGAATAAGAGCTTATGAGCAGCACAGGTCACTGGGGTTATTTAAGAGATAGATGTTTGTAAAAGAGATTTCAAAGGTCTAGGCTTCATTGCTAGAGGCCAGTTAAAAGCTGGTTCTGTTCCACACAATGAAGTCTTTTGGTTCTTGGTGCTTAGAGTAAAAGCACTGGAAGCATAAGATTAACTGAAGAACCTCATTAAAAAAAAAAATTCAAGAGAAGGTAAGTTTGGGGGTAGTATGGAGTGGGAAGAGACAAAAATTAGGAAAACAGCTGCTCACTATGCTATCTGCAGGTCTCTCCTCTGACCCTCACCCCAACATTTCTTTAACTCGGTAATCAACTAGATGGTGGTCTAAGGGTGAAAAAGATCTTAAGTGAATTTGTTAGTTGCCTCTAGGATCCCTGTCATGTTTCACAGATTTTTAGAAAATTTATTAAAAAAGTGGGACTTGACAAGAGAGTTAAGAGCTTCCTACTTTAGACAGCTGGCTGTCATCCCTCCCATAGGCAACATCCTTGGCAAATATACTAAGATAATCACAACTGGTCAACTGACAGCCCAAATTTATCCTAAGACTAGACATTTTGCTGGAACACCCAAGTTAAGAATCTGACCTGTAAAAACCAAACACCTTTGTCAGGCAAGTCATATCACTCGTCTTTGACATCTACATTAAAGGCCTCTGGAACAGCTGACCTCCATCCACAGTCAGAATGAACTAGCAGCTCAGCTTCAATTAAGTACCTAAACCTGACCTTAAATCCCTCTCATGTAAACGCATTCTTTGTTTTCCTCAAAGCTCAGTACAAATTAATTTACGAAAGAAATGAGCACTTAGCTACACTGGAGGTTGATTAAGCTTACAGTCTGAACATAAAGTGCTAAAAGAAGAAGGTTCTGTAAAAATTTAAGAAATCAAACAAAATAACTCTACTCCTACATAGGAGAGGCCTCATATATACCAAAAAAGCCACATAACAAAAGTTAAAATTTTCACAGCCATCTTTTCTGAGAACAGCAGCTTTTGGTTTTAAGTGCTTAATATCTCATCAAATACATGCTTGATCCTAAGCACTCCTTTATGCATTTTTTCAACATTTAAGGGAACCTTTGCATATAGATGTCTTCAACCAACCAAATACTTAGGCTGTTGACATTGCAGTAGTCTATCAAATTCGAAGCCACGAACTTCTACTACAAAGACAGGATGGGAAAGTATACAGTTATCTGCAGTCCCAAACTAAAGCCCTGTTTACCTGGTCTAACTCAAAAATTCCAAAGTTTAAAATGCAGTCGCCTTTTCTGCAGTGTAATTTGGGACCCCCCAGGACTCATTTTTTCCTCTTCACAAGGCTATGTGTCCTCCCCAACCACTATCATGTCCCAGTCAGCTATAATAAACTATGGCCTTTATTCTTCCAAAAGTATTTCCTCACGGTCCAGACTCAAACAAAACTGACCTGATCCCATCCAGTTTCACCTTTGCTCCTCCCTCTTCACCATCTACCCCCAGCTTTTAGAAAAATATCTAGACCCTGCACTGCCTAGCTACAACCTTTCCAAAGCATCAGCACTTCCCAAGGGCCATCACAGCTATCCATTTGTTGCCTATAGTGTTTTCATTGAGATCTATACAGCCTCCTCTGTCCCTTATACCATTGAGACCAGACTGGGGAAAACACTCTGGTCCACCCAGCTGGATTCCCCATCCATACAGAGCAAATCTCAGCCCAAACTACAGCTTCTATCCCTAGTTACCTACTAATCCTTTGTCCTTACCTATGCCCAAGCACTTAAACTGAGCATCAAACTTCTCACATGACTAACACAGGGGGGAAACCCTTATTTGGGAAGAAACAACACAATCTAGAACGTCCCCCTGGAAAAAGCTCTCAAACGCTGCAGATGGATTCTTCTCTGCTGGATCCTGCTGAGGATGCGTAAACTGGGAATTCTCAGAGGAAGGAAATGCTGACACGTAACAGGACTTGAACATCTTAAATAGGCTCAACGTGTATAATGAAAAAGGCTGCTACAGCCCAAGTGAGGATGCAAGTTCTGCTGCCAGCCGCAATCTGCCCTGCAACACATTCAGAACACAGAGGCTGCTCTTTCATTACAGCACTGCTGACAAACACACACGACTGATTACTGTTGTTCAAAAATGGAAACATCTCCCTCACCCCCTGAAAAAAACCCACACAAAACCAACAAAAAAAATGCACACTACTGATCATATGCCAAACTACTCCCAACCTAAAACAATGAACAACACTATCTTTCCCACTTATAAGTTTTAAATTGTTTTTATTTGTTTTCACTCTGCAACACCAACAGAACCAGGAATCCTGAAACACTGAGATATAGCACTTTAAAGATGTAGAGAACTGTCTATACCCCAGGGAAATAAAGAAGAAAGAATAAAACACAAATTCACAGAGATGACAAGCAGAGTTTGAATTTTGTCTTAGCAATCAGAGGTTATGATTTCCCGCTACTTAGCCAGAAGTATCTGAGAACGGGTTTGTGTCAACATGCAGAACTGTTAGAATGAAGCCATTCCACCTCTAATTATTCTTTTTTCAATAAGCAAGTAATCTTAATCGTTTTTAGTTCTAGCTGCTTAAAGTAATAGTTATAGTAATACTAATATTATCCTACGCTATCTATCTTTGTTGAAAGCCTTAAAGATATTTATCCAGAACAATTTAAAAATACTTTCCAATTAAACTGAACAAATATTGGAGAGGCTATAATTACTACAATCCCAGACATTAAAAATGAAACCATCTTGATTTACAGTTTAGTTTTATACCCAAATTACTGCTATACTCCACTTAATGATGATCTTTGTAGCAAATCATTACATAAATTAATGCAATGGATAATCCTTCACTGACACAACAAACCTTTCCATTGAAACAGCTAGGTTTAAACAATAAAAACAACTCAAGTATTTCACAAATAAGAAATACAGTATTATGAAACAGTTTTAAACAAAATTTAGAACATGGAATATACATTAGCCTTTCAGATTGTTCTCTGAAGTCAGAATATTGTTTGCTAATAACATGCCACTCTTTTTTCATGCAGCTGAATTGCTTGTAACCTATTAATAATGTCAGTTCATAAACCAACTCCTTACTCTTTCTCCTTTTAAGAAGTGGAAAACTACATGCTGCATTTTTGTTTCGTATCACTGACTGCCTACTCGTCATACTATATGTACTTTTCACATAGGCTTTTCATATTACTAATTTTTTTCCACATATTTGGAGGTTTGCATTACGTGATCTTGATATTAAAGTGAAATAATTTCATCTCCACTGAAGATGTACTAAATGAAATCACTGGACAGACCAAGAGTGCTTACCTGTGTTCTGTTCAAACAGAACAAAGCTGAGCTACCTGGCTCAGAAAGTTGATGGTAAGTAATACAGTTGCTGCAAAAGAATGAAGCTGATTCCAAGTTTAAAGGAGAGATCTGTTGGTCCATAAATAAATACAGTCTAAAGAGGTTTTAGCTGTCACAGTTCTGGGTATCTACAGAAACTGCTAACATACTCAACTGTCACTACAGGTAGATAATTTTTGTCCTGCAGGACCCAAACCCAACTAAAGTTATTTATGTGCCATCTTGAAGCCAAAGAATTTGATCACCACTAATCTAAACCAGAGGAGGAGAACAGCAAATGAGTAATGACTCAGAGTTAAAAGGACAGTTACTTGATCATCAATAATCAGAGAGAAAGTTGCTTAAGGACAAAAACATATCCAAAAAGCAAGATATAATTTAATAACTCACAGGAGTTATGGAAAAAAGCTATTAGGTTATTAAACAAGCAAAATTGGAGGTCTTAACTTGAAGGACAATTACATTCAAGCTCCACATTACACCAATGCTGTGATGTTTTCATTCCTTTGTTTTGTAAAAATTCTTGTGTCTGCGTTCAGACTTCAAAGTTTTGATTTTTCAACGTAAATACTTTCTCTGATTCGTTTACTCCTCTTGTCTCCCACTTTACAGTGGCTCTAATAAATTTTTAGCATTAAAATAGTATTGTTACCTGCGGAGATGGAGAAAGGCTGTGTAGCACTGCTTACGGAACTCCTGGTACTGTTCACTCTGTGTGCCTCCCATACCTTCCACCATTTCCTTATTCAGCTTCATTGGGGGAGGTAGAGGCTTAGGGTCCCGACCCAAAATATAACCAAAGTCAATGTGAAATAGTTTACCTGTAGAAGGAGGAAAGGCAAACACTTCACATAGTAACAAATACTGATGCAAAACTTGGGGAAAAAAAAAAAAAAAAAATCTTTAAGTGCAATCTCTAGTAGATGCTAAGCAGCTCAAAAAAATACAATTCACTGTTTTCTATAAAGCTTATAACTGTATATTTTATATCTTCAGCTGCCAATTTGAAATTATGGGTTTAAAAAAAGTAAAGCTGATTTCAAATTCATTAAGAGTACTAACTAACAAGATAAGTTTTTCTGCCCCCCTTTTTTTTTTTTTAAACACATGAAGTACATTCACAAAGACTGAATCAATGTTGAAACTGGTCAGTAGATATTTAATGCACAGTTATATAATAGATACCATAATTCTTTGTGCCTTCTTTAGAATGTTAACAAATTAAAATATTAATACACCCATCGCATTGCTTTTAGTATCCCATTTGGTTGCTGTGGCATGAAACGCATTATTTTAGTTGTATGTTAAATTTACCAAGGGGAAAGTTAAGACTCATGATCCTAAGAATGACCTTTTGAAGCCACCAAATACCAAAGATTTCAAAGCTGTTTCAAAATTCTTTTAGTTCTTTGAGTAAGGTTAAAATTTATCAACTATTTTCAAAGACATTAAAGAAACATCACTACAATTCCAAATCTGAAACTGTATTTCAAATGTGCCTAAGTCTGTCTTACACTTTTTCAGCACTAAAATACAAGAGTTACATCACTTGATCACTACCTTTCCCTTCTCAGATCAACTGACTACATTTAAAATGTTTCTGCAGTATTAACTTCACAAAAACTTATATACATCTCTTGCTTTAAATGCATAAGGCAACTTCCCTTCCTATCAAGAGCTTGCGTGCAGCCATGCTGTTTACAATATTGCTCAGACTTTTGTTAGGGAATATTCACTGTATTCTCTCAATAGTACTGAACCATACACGAGATGTTTATTTTGCCACCTATTGCAACTGCAACACCAGCAACTTTAAAAAACCTACTAAAACATTTAGATAATCTGAAGATTAAATATTATATAATACACAAAACAAAAATGTTGTCAACAGAAATCAAAATCGTACAATCCATAATTCTTAGGAAGCCAGTTTCTAGGAACATTCTTGACTCACTTAAGTGGAAAACATTGACCATATAAAGCAAAAAAAAGTTTTTTAAAGTGTTCTTCAAATAAATTTTCAGTTTAAAATATGTATTTTAAACAATGACTTGGGCCATAACAGAGCTGCGTTACAAAAAGATGGTAAGAATGCAGATATGCCAAGAAACATTTATATAAAAAATTTAAAAGAAAAAACATAAGTGAAATCTGTTAAGTGATTTCCTTAGGACAGAGAGAAGCCATCTTCCTGAACTCTGCAGTAATAAGTAATCAGGAAATAAATTACAAAGTACAAAAAGGTGATGGGTGTCTGAGCCGTTAGGTAAATTAAGTTCTGCATTCAAAGCAAAGCTACTCAGTGACATTAATAAATTTAAGTCTTACATGACTAATTTATAGAAGAGAATGAAATGCAGATACAAGATGGAAGATCTTGTAAACAAGAAGGTAAAAAATTATTAGTATGATTATCACCAAGACAGCCACAGATAGGACAGAACATACAGAGTCTTGCTTCAGAATTATAGAACTGAACAGCATTATGGACAGAGATCTCTTTGCTAAGGGCTATTTTAACCTGCAGCATCCATATTCATCTCAATATTTTCATAAGCTTAGGTGCTCAGCACTCTTGAAAAAAATGGAACAGTCAGTATTTTTCAGTTAGTCACCCCTCTTTGGCCATTTCATTGAATAATAGTGTTTTATCATCAGAAAATGCTGCCTGAGATCTGTCATAAGCACTCTTCTTCAACCCAAGAAACAAATTCCATCACAGTCAATTTTCTAAGGGAGATCACAAAGAAGCTTAATAAGCAGGCAAAGTATTTGCTAGTTGATAAATGCCACAACCATTACATTTTGCATACCTAATTGTGCTACAAAAACCCTCCCTTCCTTCAATAGTTTTTTTCAAGTTGCTACAAGACTTACTTTTAGAGCTCATTTTTGTACACTAACTTTTTGAAGTGATATATACACACACCCTTCCACCATTAAGTTACAAAAAATGTTTAATTAAAAAGTTTTGGGGGTTCTGTGTTCTGTTCACTTATTCAAACCTGTCACCTTCAAAAGTCAAGAGACAACATTTTGAATAAAACAGTAACTCTTGTGGCAGTAATTAAATTTTTTTTTAGTTTGCTCTGGAGATAGGGAATAAGAGGCAACAATTATTAATTTAAATTGGTAACAAAGATGCATCTAAAGCATTCAAAACCATTTTAATAGCTGACGTTCATATAAATTAATTAGATATCAAGTACTTATGCATTTTCAGGACTGAAGTATCAAAAAGTATAAGATGAGGCCATCCTGCATTAACATTCTAGCTTCCCTAGCTGTACTTCAAAATCCAGCAGATTTTTAGGCTGACTTAAAAAGTATGTCAAAAGCTTTCATTTAAATACATTAAATATATTTAATATTTTTCAAATTCATGTACTAAACACAGACTTAACTAATTTTCATTTGTGCAGTTCCTCCAAGATCCAAGAACCAGCATACCATATTACAGAATACGGACAGAAGGCTCCCCTTGGTGCTTGCCTGAAGCCGCTACACCAGTGAAGACTGACCAGCCAGCTTGAGGGAGGCAGTGCAGTTTTAGAGCTTTCTACAAAGAAGCCTGACTTATGTTCTCCCCAAGGACTTAACTACAACTGTAACAAGCAAAGAACGAGCCTGCTTTGGACAAATTAAAATTGGTTGTATATTTAATACTGAAAATTATACATGTTAATAAATAATAAATTTATCAAGTTTAACAACAAATGATATGAAATCTTTTAATACTAAGATAAAATGTTGCAAGTATCTCAAGTGATCATCCCAAGTAAAAGTCGGGTTATAGCACTGAACATCCCACTTTCAGACATTAATGAATGTGATGATTAGACTACCACTCAGTATAAGCTCTATTACAAGAACAAGACTGGAGAAAGTTTCTGGTACCTATTTGACAAGGTGCAGTGCCAGAAAATACTGAATAGTAGCAGAGAGAGCAGGATAAAGATAGGAACCTAACACCCCAGCTCTATATAAAGCAACTGTCGTAGAGTATATGAACTTCAAACAAAAAAATATCACTTTGTTCTAGAAATCACTGTACTGAAGATGTAATTTTAAGAGGACAGAAAATATATTTAGTAAGAATTTTTATTCTGTAGGAATTGACTTTCACTGTGAATAGCATATTGTCTCCTAACATAGCCATCACTCCTGATACACATCTGTAAGGATGGAGGCAGAAACTGCCAGTACCAGCTCATGAATTTTTTTTTTTTGTCAGCTTAAATGCATTTTTTTCTTCAAGAGCACAGCTCCTCAAAACACTACTCATTGGAAATCTGTCAGCCTCAGGTATGACAATAATTAAAAAATAACCTTGTCTAGTAATCACAGCTGAAAAACAGTCAACAGGAGAATCAGCATCTTATTTGGGCAGGTGTTGAGTGAGTTTTTTAGTTCTGGAGCATCACACAATTTGTGCAGTTTGTATTTGAAAATTCCTGAAAGTTATGTAGTTTGGTTGGTAAGAAACATACCTTCTCAACCAAATTTAGAAGATGACTCTTTTAAACCTTTATTTCACAGAATCACAGAAAAGCTGAGGTTGGAAGGGACCTCTGGAAGACATCTGGTCCAAGCTCCTGGTCGAGTAGGGCCAGCTGCCTTGCCTAGGACCATGTCCAGACAGTTTATGAGTATCTCCAAGCATGGAGACTCCACGATTTCTCTGGGTAACCTGTGCCCATGCTCCGTCACCCTCACTACGGGTAAAAATTCATACCCATAGCATAGTACTTATATAGTTATCATCTATCCTCCCAGTAAATTAGACTGCTTGTGAACTTTGTGTAACACTACTTTTTCTAAAGGCTTTGAACTTCCATGTTTTATAAAACAATTACGTTTCCTTCCTTCAACATACAGTGTCAGTGCCATAACATATACACTTTGATCTCTTAAACCATCATGTTTTTACCTCAGCTTCTAACCCATCTTCTTCAGATTTATTAGATCTTAATTTAAAGGGCTCTAATTTATAAGCATGTCTAATAATTAAAAGACAAACCTGGACTTCCAGTTTTGGTTTATTACTGTTCCTGAATAACTGCTAAATCATATGGGTGAGGGTTTTTTTGTTTGAGTCATGTTTTATACTAAAAGAGAAGTTACTTAAGACAACAGGTGAAACACATTTAATCCTCTGAGCCTCTTACATTCTTGTAGGGCTAGATATAAAGGCCTTGGATTTCTAATATTTAGACACTGAAACCTTCAGAGATCTATCTAGAAATCTGAGTTCCTTATAAAAATAGGGGATTTTAGGTATCTGAGAAAACAAAACATAACAATTCAGGAAATACCTCAAGACCACAGACAAGTATGTATGAACTTTCTACTCTGTTTTGAGGCTAGGAGCAGGACTATATGTAGGCTCCTATGTATAGTTCAAGATCCACAGCTTTGGACAAACATTTCTGATGTTGAAAGTGGCTCACTCCTCAAAGTCTAAAAGATGGTATTAGCATTCTTTCAGGAAGCAAGAAAAATCCCTGCTGGAAAGACTTTGAATAGCACTTCTCACCTTAAAAAACAGTGCCCTAATAATCACTCTCCACTCCCCATTTAAGCTATTTTACTATAGAAAAAGCAAGACATAAGGCATTTACTGACTGTGGCGGTGTGCTCCCCATGCCCCCTACCCCCGCAACCTGACCTGTGTTTCCAGTAACCCTGCTCAAGTGATAACCACCAGTGGCAGCTGTAACGGATGCGTCTGGTCGTGATGGCTGCATCCAGCTCAAAGTGGATTTGGGGGAGACGGGTAACAACACGATAGCCAAGGGCTAATTTGAACAATGTGCCCACC